CGAATTCTTACGACCCTCGAAACCACATCTAAGCAACTGGAATCTTTCACTTATATGCTTAACGCCCTGCAAGAGTCGCTTCCCCCGGCAAAAAAGAAGGAACGCGCATGCGTAGGTACTTCCTCTGCTTCAAAGACCTAGATGGCGCGTGAAAAGGACCTCGATATTTTGCAGTGGAACTGCCACAACTTTCGTCATAATAGGACCCCTCTCCACCAATATCTTCTCACCCGCCAAACATTACCCATTTTCTCCTTATACAGGAGACTCGGGCGGCCCTTGCCGTCCCGGGCTACCGTGCATACCCCGCTACGACGGGAAAGCCACTTGCGTCCATTTATGTACGCAATGACGTTCTCGTTGAACCACTAGGCGTACCCTCCCCCCTCCTGAAAAAATGTAGTTGGTGTGGTCTATTACCAACCATCTACGCGTAATTCTCTCGCTCTGGTGTCTTTTTACAACCCCCCTGTCACGTCCTCTTTGTTTAGTGTTCTTGGCGAATTCCTGCACTCTCTTCCATCGACCACCCATATCCTCCTTGGGAGTCACTTTAATGCTTCTCATAGGCTCTGGGGTTACCCCCAAACGCTTAAACCAGGTCGTCTTCTACACTGCCTCACCCAGGAACGCCATCTCACCCTTCTTAATACTCCTGACACCCCTACTCGAGTGGGCACTGTTTTACAGCGTTCCACTACACCCGATCTCACATTCTCTCGGAGTTCCCTTCCTTTTCACAGGCAGGTGTCCGCCGAAAATCTTTTCAGTGATCACTTTCTCATACACATCACCACCCCTCTTTCCCTCAATAGGCGGAAACAACGAGTCGCTCACACTGACTGGAAAGCATTCCGTAATAACCCTTTGTCTGACTCATTTAAAACTTACGACGACTGGACGTCGCGGATCTCCTCAGCAATGACATCCTGTAGTCGCCGCGCTCGTTTTCAACTCCCCATTCCTGACCCTGATCCTCACTTCCTCCGTTTATGGCGACGTCATCAACGTTTGAAACGCGCTCTCCGCTCCCAGCCACACAACGTCCAACTTTCCTTCCGAATTGATGCTCAGCGGACTGAAATTATCCCTTACGGCACTTCTCTCGAGCACTCTCGTTGGAACACGCTGTGTGACGGCCTTGACTCCGCACTGCACTCACCCTCTACATGGTCTCTGTTTAGGTCTCTCTTAGGTACCAAGCCTGCCGTTGCTACCACCCTAGCTAAAGCTCTCGCTCAAGGGACTCCATCTGATGTGTTTGAAAATTTAAAATCTTTGTATCTCCCACCCCCACCCTCACACCTTCCTCCCCAGATTACTGTGGCGAAGCTAACCCAGACCTGGACGCTCAGGGAGCTGGAAGCTGTCTTAGCCACTCAATCTACTCGCTCGGCACCCGGTGAGGATGAGATAACATATACTACATTACGTAATCTCCCCGACAACGCGAAGGAATTTCTCTTACATACATTCAAGGAAGCATGGAACAGCGGCTGTCTTCCAAGCTCTTGGACATAATCTCTAATTTGCATGATTCCGAAGACGGGCAAACCTCCATCTCTCTCTAACCTTCGCCTTATCTCTTTGACGTCATGCGTTGGCTAGACTCTTGAGCGATGGGCCTTGACTCGACGACTGATTTTATTGAGGCGAAAGAGCGTTTCCCTTCTTCTCTTGTTGGCTTCCGACGCCACGTTTGTGCGCAGGACATGTTCCTTGTTCTTCAGCATACTTTTCTTTCACCATCTCGTAGTCAGATCCATGCGCTTGTAACCGTTGATGTACGGAAGGCATTCGATGGCGTGAGCCATGACCACATACTCGCTCAGCTCTCCTCCCTGTCATGTGGCTCCCGCATGTATTCTTACATCCAATCATTTCTTTCCAATCGAGTTGCTCGCTTTAGAGCCGATACTCATTTGACTAACCCACACTCCCTCACCCGCGGCACTCCTCAAGGTGCCGTACTATCTCCTACTCTATTTGATATGGCTATGGCCCCCCTTGCCTCCCAACTGTCCCAAATACCTGACCTCCACCCTATTTTTTATGCAGACGACATCACTCTCTCGTGTACGTCTGGATGTCCCGGCCACGTGCAGGATACTTTGCAACGTGGCCTGGACCTTATCGCTCCCTTTCTCGCTACTGCTGGCGTGTCCCCTGCACCGGAGAAATGTGAACTACTTTTGCTAAACCGGTCTGCATACCAGCGCTCCCACAATACCTTCATCTCCCTACATCTTTCTAGCTCTCTCATCTCCACTGTTCAGCAATGCAAAGTTCTTGGCTTCCCTTTGCACGCGACAAAGAACGCGCAGGCCCTGCATCACGCTGTGAGGACATGCCACTCGGTGACCCACCTCCTGCGACGCGTTATCACTCGGCAGTCGGGGCTCCACGAGGCTCATGCATGCCGGGTTGCACATGCACTTGCCCTTAACAAGTTCTTGTACTTTGTACCATATGTTCATTTCACTCAAACGCAACTCAACACACTCGAAAGAGCTCTATTAGGCCTCTACTAGGCAGCTTTAAACCCCCCTGTCACTACCTCTACCACTAAGCTCTTTGCCACAGGCCTCTTCCATCCATTACGTTCTCTTATTTCTCTGCACCACGACTCTCAGATTGCCCGTCTTTCTCTCACTCGTCAAGGCCTATGGCTATTAGCCCAAGCCGGTATCCCTCACATTCCCGTTCCCACCTTGCCTTCTGCCGCTAGCACCGCTGCTTCTAACCTTCGCATCCTTCCCCTCCCGTCCAATATGCCTCCCGTTCTTCACGCCGGCCGGCGTCATGAGGCAGCACAGCATCATTCTCCTCCTCTCTCTACACAGGGAGTTGCCTACACGGATGCCTCATACATGGCACCTCGGGGCTCGTGTGGCTACGTTATCTACCATCCACACCTTTCGGCACCTGACACGCACACCAGTGGGCCATACTTACACCCGCCAAATGTACTTTCGCTCGAGGTCCTTTCCATGATCCACGCCATGCAGTCATTTTCCTCCCTCCCTTATCTCCCCGAGTACACGATTTACTCCGACTCTCACGCCGCCATCCGTCATATACAGAACAACACGTTGCCCCCTGCTCTTCAACAGGAGGTCGAGCGAGCGGCCTCTGCTCTTCAGCCCTCCACTGTCTTCCTCCGCTGGGTTCCTGGGCATTCGGGTATTAACGCAATGAGCCAGCTCATCAGCTTGCCTGCAATATATTGCACCGGGCACCGTTCATTTCCTGGCCCACACTTTCGGAAGACAGTGATAGCTCCGCGAATAACGATGGGCAGATCTCCTTGCGTCACACTATCAAGGAGGTATATCTCCAGCTCCGACTCGACAAGCGTCTTTACCCTCCCCCTCACCCATAACTCACTGCACTCGAGGCTCGAACTCTACGGCACATCCAAATAAACTGCCTGATAACCCCCTCTCGCCTTTTCCTTTATAAATATAGGTCTAACCCCTGCTGTCCTAATTGTCCCTCCCCATACGCTGACCTGTCACACTGCCTGTTTTACTGCCCAACTGCTCAGCAACACAGCTATTACCCTCCCCCATCCCTTTCCATCACTTCCTGGCTCGACTGAATCGGCGCTGAAGGGGAAGAAGAACAGCGTCGACTGATCGCACAGGCAGTCGAAATGCTCGGCCTGTAAATTTGGCTGAATAAAAGTCTATTACTACTACTACTAGCAGTATACAGCCAGTACATACTGTTATGAACGAGCTACGCGTTGCGCAGTGCTACCTGCCCCCCCCCCCCCCCCCCCTGCAGGCCTTCCTACAAGAGACACTAGATGCGTCCGTTGGAGACACTGGCCGCATTCCGCGCTTTCTGTTCTTAAAGGACCAGTCAACAGGCTCCGGAACGCGCAGGAAAAGCTCGCGCCTCTTTCGTACGCCTGGCCAACCTTCATCCACGCAGTATAAATACGCAGAAATCACTTTTGGTGGTTCGGGAAATGTCGCCGCCGTCATTTGACACGCGAGATTCTTAGCCGTCATGGTGGTGAAATATTCTAACTTCTGCAACCGGCGACGTGCCGCTTCTAAAAAAGAATGGGATACGCGTTCAGAAGTTCTACAAGTAGGGAACAATGTAGTTGAAAGAACATTCTGCCAGCAACTCCCTTTTCTCCTGAAAGAATAACACTCCTTGTTATTTGTCACAACGCGACAGACATCGCAGTCAAGCGTCGCTTCTTGCGGGCATCCATGTTGAATAATCTCAAACCTGTCTGCTTTCAACGGGCGCGGTCGAGGCTAATCCAACTGTTTTCTCCCAGGATACCGTCAGTAGTGTGGATGCGCCTGCAAGCGGATCATCCGCGGATTAGCCGTCCGCGTCCACGACAAATGACTGCTGAGTGTCGTGTGTCTTTCTCGGATGGATATGTGGGTGCTTGTGTGAGTGTTTGCAAAAGTCAATGTAGCGCTTAATATTTTACAGAGTCAAGGTTGCGCTAAATATTTTACAATAAGACTCTCACAATAAGCGGGAATACTTTTCGCAATGAATTTAAACCCGCAGGTTTAGTTGCGAACTTCGAGAAACACGTGGAAATTTTTTCAGCCAAATTCATGGAGTTTAGAAAAACCATGGGTGATTTGGCATGGATGTTATTAAGCGTTCTGATGACGGTAGCGCAGGCGCACAGGGTTCTCCTTCAGGTGGGGGGAGGGACGAATGTTCTTCACAGCACTCCCACCCCTTTCCCCATTCTGTCAATGTTAGGAGCTAGCTACAGTGTAGTACACTGTAAGCTAGCTTTGCTTTCAACTCCCCCCTCTTCCCCCCTCCGCCCTCTTCGTGCGCTCGCCTATGATAGCAGGGGAGACCAAATTATCTTGACGAATGAAAAATGAGGCGAGATCGAAGTGTTTACTGGTGCCGCCACCGTCCGCCCGCGAGTGCTGACTGAAGTTGAGTGGTTGGTGCTCTTGTCACAGGGCGGCGCCACGCTCTTTTCAGGCTGTGGGGGCACGAGTAGTGACCGGCAAGGCGAGTGTGCTTCAATTGAGTGCGGTAGCGGCGGACTGTGTTGTGCTGGCCCGAAACCATACGACCGGGGACACATGTGAACTACAAGGAATATGGCAGGCGCGAAATCGGGCGTTCACGTGCTGCAGCTCAAGCCCATCAGTGTGCCCAAGAGCCTGCAAGACGGCAACAAATTCGTCAAGTGGGACGACGTGAGTGTTTTCCCCTTCTCCGCGCGCGATCGCAGTTTCGCTTCCAGCAGACGGCCTGTCGACCGCGCACAATCGAGCCATGCAAACGGGTGTCGTAAGCCCTGCGTGCGTGCTCGTGTCTTCCGAGAGTCGTCACGCCCGATCGGGCTTCGGCGAGGCGCACTGCTGCGCGCAGTCAGTGGCCGCCGACACCGTTCATTAGGCCTAGCTTGACGATGACGGCGGGCCGTTCGGCGCGTGCGTGCGCTCTTTTCCCCCGCGGAGGAGCTCGTTCGATCGCCGCCGCCGCCACTCTCACCGTGCGCGCTCGTTTATTAACGATAACCTTGGGGAATCAACAGACTCACTGGTTTCTCTTTCTACGCTCCAGGAAGTCGGGGCGCCGTCAGCTGTTTTGCTGGGGCAAGGTTGCTAGGTGCAGCCGTTTGAAGGGCCGATTGATAAGCTATCGGGCCCATATCGAGCGCGATAACACAAACCTGCGTAATCATACTCCATCGTATATGGCTTTCTCCTTTCATACGACCGAATAACGAGCGTTCCTTGAAGGGGTGAGCTTTTCAATGAGCCAAAATGTAGACGAAATGCAGAAATGCGTAGACTGCCTTGAATAATTGATTGGATTGATATGTGGGGTTTAAGGTCCCAAAACTACATATGAATATGAGAGACGCCGTAGTGGAGGGCTCTGGAAATTTCGACCACCTGGAATTCTTTAAGGTGCACTCAAATCTGAGCACACGGGCCTACAACATTTCCGCCTCCATCGGAAATGCAGCCGCTGCAGCAGGGATTCTATCCCGCGACCTGCGGGTCAGCAGCCGACTATCTTAGCCACTAGACCACCGCGGCGGGGCAGACTGTCTTGAATAAAGGGTCCGTGATCGTGTGTTGGGCGCTTCGCCTCTGCGATAGCATCGCCCCCGTAGAGATATCGCTTCTGTGGATGGAAATGGCGTAGCCGGTCTCAAGCACAAGCAGGTCACTTATTTATTTGGCGATAGAGCATCGGACGCGTACTTTGTGGGCTCGGATCGCACCGACGGGAAGAGTGATTCGTTTCACGCTCTTTAATTTCAGTAATTGTTAGTACGCAGCAGTAGAATACGGCATCTAATCCCCCTTTAGCTGTGCATACGATTACGTGTGACACAAAACGACTTAATAAAGCTCGTTATATCTTGGCTATCATCAAGTCGTGCCGTCAGTTAAGGTGACGGTATACTCTGTTAGGAACACTGGGTGGGAACACTGCCGCACGGCTTGCCCCGCCCCGGTGGTCTAGTGGTTAAGGTACTCGGCTGCTGACCCGCAGGTCGCGGGATCGAATCCCGGCTGCATTCCCGATGGAGGCGGAAATGTTGTAGGCCCGTGTGCTCCGATTTGGGTGCACGTTAAAGAACCCCAGGTGGTCGAAATTTCCGGAGCCCTCCACTACGGCGTCTCTCATAATCATATAGTGGTTTTGGGACGTTAAACCCCACAAATCAATCAACTGCCGCACGGCACGAATGCGTTGGCGCATACCTTCCCGTGTGCCCATCACCGTTGCGTCTCTTGAGTGTTTTAACGGAAATTTAACCATTCTCGTGACGTTATTTAATGCGACCCGCAGCGAATCTGTAGCCCTGTGTAGCGACCTTAATTGCTTGTTTCCTCTTGATGTCCAACATGAAGCGGCGGACGCGTGCCATCCTGTCATTCGGTATAACGCAACGCAAATACGCTTGATTGCTGTAGGTTAGCAAACCCACAAAATCACGAAGCGGGACCGACGGCAATCGCTGGAAGCTGCTTCGTCGCGCGCGTCTCAGCATATGGCCCAACAGGATGGGTTCCATTCATGTTGGCAGACCTGATCATGCAAAATGGTCAAAGATCAGGGTGAGAAGGGAGATGGGCGTTCAACGAGCGAACTGGAACTGTCCACTAGATTTCACGCAGTGCACCTGTTTGTGCGTTTTGGGATTTACTCGGATAAAATTGTCACCTTTCTGTGGTCAGCTCCCGAGTCGAAAAGCGCATTCTGCGGGTTACTAACGCTGAGAAACCATCGGATGGCGCAAGTTTTAAAAAGTCCGCACTCACGAGCAGAGCGCAGGAGGGCAGAAAAATGAGGCGTTATTAACAGACGAAATTTTGGGCATGATTGTCTGAAATTCAATGTATAGTTCTGCCATGAAGGGCTTTCAGGTGCTCTCAAGCTGTTTGCAACAGCTTTTGGCCTGAGAGACCCCCAACGTGTTGTAAAAAAACTGTTGGAAATAAAAATTTTATTGATATTGATAGATTGGTTTGTTTGATCCATTCGTTGCTCAGGCCGTCCTCGGAGGCCTTTGAAACAATCTGTGATCGAAGCGTTTTGGTGCGCTATCAAATTTATTGATATCATGTGGTTGTTAAGTAACACCAGGTCTCTCCACCAAGTTTGCCGACTTGTTCTTGCGATTCCCAGCCAGATTATGTGCATCACCTGCGTGTTGCTTGAAGCCGTGTAGCTAAGTTCGCCGAAATTATGGGACAATATAAATCTGACAAACATTTTTTCCAGAGTAAATACAGTGTGAAAACGGCAGGAAATAGTTTTGTGGCTTTACCCCATAGTAGAACAAATTACGGGGAACAAAAACTTGCGGTTCAAATTCCTAACAACCTCAAGGACTACACCGTAAAGGGGGTGGTGCCACCAAATTTGTGGCATGTGTGTTGTTTGCTTTAAGCGTTTCCTCCTTCTCCAGGAAGCATGATGCACGCACCAAGATTCTGTATTTTCGCTAAATAATTTAGTTTTGCTCTACTTATGTGGGACATTTTCGGTTTTGCGGTGCCGAATTGGGCAGTGAAAGAGAGAAACATTTTTCGCGCATCCGGCGTGCGGGAAGTCACCCGCCGCGCAGGGCGCGGGTATTCCCTATCTAAAGACTATGGCTATTAGTCCTATAGTCCCAGGCCCTAAATCTTGAGGACGTTGTGCTCCGGCTAGGCGTTGGATACTCGGGCTCCTCCGCTCCCGTTGTCCGGGGCGTCGGTTCCCTTTCTCGTCTGCTTTGCCAGGGCCTCCTCAAGCCGCTCGATGGCCCTTCGTTGTGTGGTTGAGTCTTAGGAGCGTATCCATGCTCCCACCTCTTCGGGATACGTGGCGTTCTGGCACTGCCCATTCCCATTGTTCACACCACTGTTACACCCGCCCCACATGATGTGGCGGAGGGTGGCTAGTTCACGTTCGCACACGCTACACTCAGCGTCCACAAACATGTCGGGGCATACGTGCCGGGCCAATGCTGGCGTTAGCACGCATTCCGTTTGCAGTTGTCGGAGATTCGCCGCCTCCGCACGTGACAGTTCACAATGCGGGGGCGGAAAGGCTCTCCTGGCCTCTCTGTAGGCCGCCAGGATCCCTCCGTAGTCGGTGAGGGGATCGAGGTCTTCTCGTTCTTCACCGCTGGTTTCAGGGAGACGGGCTGCCGCGGTCCGGCACGTGATGAGATCACGGGCCACAGCGTCTGCCTCCTCGTTGCGGTTCTCAATGTCGGGAGCCAGTTGTCCCATGTAGGCTGGGAACCATTTAAGGGCGATGGTTGGCCCTGTAGCGGCGCCGCGAGCAGCCCGCGAAGCCGTGATGGACGTCACTAGCCGCTCCGTGCCCCGCCAGACCATGCCTCGGGCAAAATTCCTGATTGCCTGCTTTGAGTCGCTTAGCACCGTGCGCGTGCCCGGCCTACCTGTGGCCAGGGCTATCGCCGCCTCCTCGGCCTGGCCGGCTGTTCGGGCGTGCGCGGTGCTTGTGGCTAGGTCACGTGAGCACTCAAGGCTGTGACGCATATCGTGCTGAGATTCGTCTGCTATCAAATACACGTGCCACACAAGCGACAGCAAAACAAACGCGCTGACAGTCGCCATGGCCAGCTGCATTAGCATCCAGGCAGTGGCAAGGCAAAAGACAACCAGAAGGAAACGACGTATGTACAGAATGTGGACGAATAAGCCGCCCAACGCTATGTGCGCCGACGTTTTATAGCCGCCGAAGAAGGAGGGGGAAGCCCCGCTGTTGGACGCGTCGAGTGTCACTTCGAAAGCACCCAGTGTCCTTGACGGACGCCTCTGCAAGGGACGCCAGCACACTCGTAACTGCACGCATGCGAGTTCTCGTTAACAACATGCGTTTCGGAGAAGGTTATGGCGAATTGCACTCGTCGAGCCGAGAGTCAGCATTCCACTGATAGATTCAGAGCAAGTGCGCGTGTCCCACTGGCAAATTAGGCGCAACTCACTCCGTGACAGAGCGTTCCGCGTGCTCCGTCTTGCAAAGACGGATTTTGCCGCAACTCCGAGAATGCATTGCCGTCATGTACAGCACAGTCGGGCAGTGCTGTTGCCTGCAGCAGCCTTGAGCGTTCTTTTTTCTTTTCGAGGCGGTGTCCTCTGCACTGGTTTACATTTCTAAAATGGCATTGTTTGATGTTGTTGGACGTTCTGCTGCTGGTTTGCTTCTCCCTTTGAGCGAGAGCACTGGTAGCAGCAGCGAAGGCGAGCTGCACGTGCTTTCTCGCCGTGTGCATGGCCGAAGTCTCGACCGAAAATAATTGGCTATGTCGAGGAAATTTTGAGGAATGGTTTAGTGACGTATGTGTAAAAAAATTTTCGGCGCGACCTTCACGTGTTCCACTCGCAGATCTGGCTTGCGCAGTCCGAGTGCTCGCTGCAAGATTTCATCGGCCGCTCCGGATCTACCAGTGGAATTCGCCATTACTCATGTCACTACAGATCTAGCGTGACGTCATGACAACTGCCGTTGCTTTTTCTATTCTGAAACGTCAGTGTTGCTGCGCAGTTCTTGAGTCCTCCACTACGGCGTCTCTCATAATCGTATGGGTGTTTCGGGACGTTAAACCACACATATCAGTCAGTGTTGCTGCGCAAGTGATTTGCCTAGATCGCGAGAGTGAGCATTCAGCTACACTTTTATAAGGGAATTAGAATACATTCTACGCGTTTGTTGT